TGTTTGTTTGTATGCGTGTGTGTGTGCGTGTGTGTTTGCTAATTATTATTGAAATGTCAGTTGCTTGTAGGGTTCAGGGGATCTCGTAGTCGAGCAGTCTCGACTAGAGCTTTCTTTCTTGTTGATTTTCAATTCTATTTTATTGACACATAATGGAAAACGAAAATGTAAATATAATACGATAATCGGGTTATATTTGGACTGCGAGATGTATCAAAGAATCTTAAGTAGTCATCGAGCCAAGTCGGAACATAGATTTTTGTACATTAGTACACAGGCTGGTTGCTGGTTGTAAATCGAGGCGCCCTGTTTCTTCTAATCACATTTGCTTCACTCTAAATGCGATTATGCTTTGAAAAGGGTTACAATTTGCCAGTAATCAAACGTGAAATGTCGATCGTAATCACATGCTGAAACACACGGCTGCTGATTTGAAACATAATCAAGTTATCCAACTTCTGCTCCTTTTACCCCGCCCAGCTAGCAGCAGCTGTCGAGAGTGGCGACTGTACCATTTGCTGAAATGTACCGTTAGCTCAACTTATTGGCAGCTACGTGAGCTGCATGGCGAATGTGCAGATTAATTGCATGCCAGATTGCCAGCAGGTGCTAGCTAGCCAGCTAGCTGCAGTGCCCGCCCAGTGAAAGTCATATTAAAATAAAATGTTATTAACAAACAGAAGGGGGCTAAAAATAGCAATTGGGAGTTCTAAATGGAAATCAGATTGCTTTCGACATGCCTCAGTGTCAGCAAGGTCTATTAGCCAGCCATTGCACTGGCTTGCTGCAGTGGGGCATGTGGCATGCACCTTGACTGAGCAGTTGCTGCCGCATTTCATTTCCGCAGCAAACACACAAACTGTCGAATTGGCAAGCGAACGGCCACAGCAGTCAGCAGTGGGCAGCAGGAGTCGGCAGTCAGCAGTCAGTTAGTAATTTTTGCGGTCAACCGCTTGCCTCGTTAGTCAACTGAAAGACCCAAAAAAACTTTGGCATTTCGCACAACCACGCACACACACTCACCGAACAATACACCTACATCCATGCATATGCAGCTTACACACTGTTTCGCCTCTTTTTTTGTATTTTTGTACCAACTCATACGCCCTGTGTGGCAGACGTGGCGCGTCACAACTCAAAACTCATAATCAGCTGCTGACATTGGCGCGGCCACAAATTGCTGACGCGAGGTGTGCCAAAGTCATTTACATCGCGTTCTTTATCCAACTCCTATTTTCGAACATTATGTGCGCAAAAAGTGCTTTATAAGGCGCTTCAAGTTTGTTTTATAACTCGGCGAGTTCTTTGTTCTTTTCTTTGTTCTTTGATCCGCTCATATAATATTTACTTAAAATTCACTGGATTTTCCTATTACTCTAAATAATAAAAGTACAAATGGCCTTGTTCGCAATCAACTTAGTCAGCGTTTCTATTGAGCTTTATGCCCTTTCGTCAATATCCAGCATCGATTTGCCCTCGCCTCAACTCCATAGAGCGTGCTCTTCAAATTTAATCAGGCCTGGGTCAACAACTGAAACTCGTTGCTCCCGCTGTCATAGGGGCTGACAAACCCTTTAGACCATTTAACCCTTCTTAAATACCCTGCATCAACAAAGGGGTAAGGCGGCTGTGCTCGACTGTTGATATGTGAAATTATTATCAATCTGCCGTTTCGATGTAGTTCATTCAAGGGTATCTCAAATGCTTAGCCTTGCTCAATTTTAAAGATGGATGATTTATTAAATAAATAAAACGAAACCCCTCGTTTGTGATAGATATGTTTAATACAAGGAACAGCTACAAGGTTTCATAAAGTCGTAAAGAGCGCCTGATATTGTTCAGATTGGGGTACATAATCCGTAAGAAAACTTGAAGTGTACTTCCAAACTTGAGATATGTTTTTTATGATAATCAGATGATCAAATATAGTATATGTACATATATAGTATCTTAAAAAGTAGTGCACCACTTTATCTCGATAAGTATATACTCCCCTATACTAAATATACTAGAATCCGATTAGAATCAAGGGTTCGTCATTATACCCGGGAGGCCCTATAACATCTCAAATTTTTTCAATCAGTTTGTCTGGAGACCAGAATTTTCGTCGCTATTAGTTTTTTTGCAGGGTGTTTTATGCCGTCATACACCGGCAGCTTCTCAAATTCTGCTCTTTGTTTGCTCGCTGGCAACAACAGCAGCAGACGCAAAAACAATAACAGTCTACCCTTTTCATGTTTTCCACTGATTTGCTACTTTGTCCTTTTAATTATGAAGCCGCACAAAAGTTGTCCGGCTCGTCCTTTTCTGTTGTACTTTCGCACACACTCGAGTTCTTTTCAGCGCTGCTATTTCCCTGGCTTTTCACCAGCCTCTTGCTGTTCCGGAAAATAGTTCATAAATATTTAAAAATTTGCTGCCCCTTTATGCATAATTAAGTGACAGACTGTCAGCTTGAATAGCTCAGCAGAGCAAGGACTCGAGTCCTTGTTGTTTCAAATTCCTTTTTTGGTTGCTTTTGTTTTTGTTTGCATCGTGCAAGAGCACGATTTCCTCAATTGCTAACTAGTTGATTGGCCTTACAGATTGCTTCTCCTACGTGGCGGCCGATCAGTGTGATGCGATTAACGGCACCTACTATCTCCGGCAGTGCTACAATTCTACCTACGCAGAGGCGAACAATATTACAGGCCTAGCGCTGCACGCCCTCAAGCGTCCTCCAGCAGAGGAGTACTTCAAGTGAGTGACCATTGCCCCTCAATAGCATATAAGTCCTCAGCCTTAAATAAAGATTACTCCCATTTACTGTGCTCTCATCTCCTTCAATCTCTCCCGTCTTTTCAGCAATTTTGTGCTGGGCCTGTCGGCTGGCATCGAGGAAACGGGCAGCATTAAAATCTCTTTGGCCGCCTGCCTGCTCATCGCCTGGGCCATTGTCTTTCTGTGCCTGTGCAAGGGTGTCCAGTCCTCCGGCAAGGTCGTGTACTTTACAGCGCTCTTTCCGTATGTGGTCCTGGTCATACTCTTCTTTCGCGGCGTTACCCTACCGGGCGCTAGTACGGGCATTTTATTTTATCTGACTCCCGATTGGAAGCAACTGGCCAACGCTCAAGTGAATCATCCTACCCAATCAATGCCTGTACCATAATATTGAAATTATATAATCTTTTACAGGTATGGGGCGATGCCGCGGTGCAGATATTTTTTGCTTTGAGCCCTGCGTGGGGTGGCCTCATCACCCTCTCCTCATACAACAAATTCTCCAATAACTGCTACAAGTATGTTTCATGTGGTCCTATGCTATATATCCCAAAAGACCGTATAAACTCAGGCACAATTGTATACGTTTGAACGATAGTCTAAAATTTTGTATTTTCTAAAATCATTTGCACCTAATCTAGGTAAAAAATGTGTACAAATGTTGCGAAAGATTTTTTTACAGATGGGGCTTAAAGTATATGACATACATATGTATATACTTTAAATGAAATAAATTTGCTTATCTTCCAGGGATGCCCTCATTGTTGCCTTTTGCAACATAGCCACCTCCTTCTTTGCGGGTCTAGTCATATTCTCCATAATTGGATTTCTCGCACACGAACTGGACGTGGAGGTGAAAAAGGTTGTGGATCAGGGGGCCGGCTTAGCATTCATTGTGTATCCGGAGGTGGTCACACGTCTGCCCATCTCACCTGTTTGGTCTGTGCTGTTCTTTGTCATGCTGCTCACTCTTGGCCTGGACTCGCAGTTTGCTTTAATGGAAACCGTAACTACTGCCATTTTGGACAAATTTCCAAATCTGCGACAATACAAAACATGGGTTGTACTCTTTGTGGCCATATTTGGTTACACGGGCGGACTCGGCTTTACCACCAACGTGAGCATATCTGCATATTTCCAATATCCCCTTTTATAACCGTTAAGCCACGCGTAATTTTCCGTAGAGCGGCATGTACTGGCTGCAGCTGATGGACAAATACGCCGCCAACTGGTCTGTGCTGCTTATAGCAATCTTGGAGTGCTGGCTCATCGCCTGGATCTATGGGTCACAGCGATTCCTCAACGACATCCAGGGTATGATTGGCAAGCGATCGCGCCTATGGAACTTTTTCTGGGGCTTTATGTGGCGCTATATAACGCCAGCAACTCTTTTGGTAAGCTAGTTGATTCAAAACCTCTCGTCAAAGACTGCATTTAAATTATGTTGAACAAGTTTTATGCGGCTAAAGGTGATCTGCTTAGCTTAAATACCTCTGTATTTATATACAAACGGACATACAAACGTATTTCTTAATTCGATTCAATATCATTAGCCTTCACCAATCATTAAGCTTGATTTACATTATGAAAAGAATCTGTGGCGCCATCTATCGGCAACTACATATACATATATTCTGCCAGTTATAATCACGATCGACAGCTGCAAAATCTATCGTTGTGAATTGTCATCGATTGAAGTTCCAAACAGGAGTGCACCAAAGAATAAATCGAGAAACCAATTATTACGTTTGAATTATCGTGTCCTTAAATTTCAGTCGCCATGTTAATAAAGTACATATGTATATTCAATTGTATATTATATTGTATCGAATATCTGTTCATTTACAGTTCATTTTATTCTTCAACTGGGTAGAGTACAAGCCTGCACAATATGGCCATTACATATACCCTTTATGGGCCGATATTGTCGGCTGGATCGTAGGTCTATTGCCGGTGCTAATCATTATTGCTGTCGGCATGCAGCAAGTGTACAAGGCCCCAAGCCATCTTGGTGTCAAGGAACGGATCAGACATCTGATGCAACCCACAGCCGAATGGGGACCTGCTGGCAGACCCTGTGTCAATTTGCATGCCGAGCGTTATCAGAGTCAGAACTACGATGGTGTGACCAATACTCAAATTCTGATAAGTGGAGCACCAGCGGAAGTCATGCCCTACGAGGACAACAGCCAAGACAATGGCAATGGTAGCGCCAATGACAACTGCATCAGCAATGGCAATGGCTATCGGGATGAGGTATTGCAACTCTGAGAGCGGGTTAACGCATCCTCGTCAGCGATGGCCGCCAGCGTTGACGTTGATGTGTTGCCCATGACGGTGGGTAAGCTGCCCGGGCCGAGCATATTAAAGACATCGGCCAGGCACAGCAGCAACAGCAATCAGCAGCAAGTTCAAACTGAGAACGGGCGTAACAAATCCATACCGACGGCGAATCCCAGCCGGCAGCCGCTCATTGAAGCGGACAATGATGTCAAAAAAACATCAGCGACAGCAACAGTTGCAGCTACCACGAAAGTCTTGTCCACAGGCACCATGAGCAGCGGGCGTGAGTGCAGCACCATGTCTACTTTTACTGCTTTTGGATCGGAAACTGTGCCGGACGACCCAGCCAAGCCGAAGACAACAGCTGATGTTGTTGCCAGCACACAGGCCACAGCAGCAACCACTAGCAATATTTCTGCGTTGCCAGCTGGGACGAAGCCAAATACAGCTCTGACTACTTTTATGCCGGCCACAAAGTCAATAACAACGGCTGTTGCTAACGGCGTTCCCAGCAAAGCTGCAGCTGCAATAGATGCAAATGTGAGTGTTGTCAGCACAACAGCAACTGTTGCTGCGTTTCAAAATTCCCAAATAATAGACACAAAGAGCGTGACAACAAAGCTTAAACCGAGCGTGACTGCTGCAAACAAAACGCTGAAGACGGCACCAACAGTTGCTGCGGTGACAGCATCCACATCAGTCATAGCCACCGATAAGTCAACAAAGATTATTACAACAATAGCGAAGCCAACTTCAAGTATTGCTACCAAACCTGCAACAACTGTTGCTTCGATGACAGCAATAGCTGTCGGTATTACTGCCAAGCCTCAAGGAATGACATCAGCAACTGTCTTAAAGCAAGGAGCAACCACTTTAACTGTTGCAAGTAATATGCCGAAGACAACAGCTGCAACAACAGTAATGACAGCAGCACCTACTTCTAGTAAGGTGACTGCAACATCCCCAACGCCAGTAACAGCTGCAAGTAATTTGCTAAAGAAACCAGCTGCAACAAAAGCATTGACATCTTCAACAGTTGGTAGTAACGTGACCAAAACATCAACAACTGTTGCAAGTAACGAGCTAAAGACTATAGCCGTTACATCGGCAACTGTTTCAAGTAACGTGACCAAAACATCAGCAACGGCATCAACTGTTGCAAGTAATGTACCTAATACAGCCGCAGCAACAACAGCAGTGGCATCGACAACTGTGGCAAGCAACAACGCAACAGCAGCAAGTAATGTGCCAAAGACAGGAGCTCCACTAGTAGTAGTTGCTGCCAACAGCACAGCAGTGGGTTCACAAGCAACTGTTGTTACCATAGCCCCTGCTGTTGTTGGCAGTAATTCACCAGTAGCTTCGGTAATAATACCCGCACCAGCAGAATCTGTAGGCACATCAGCGACAGTGAAACCATCAACAGCAGCAACTACACCAAATACCACGGCCACATCATCTGCAAAGAAAGTAACAGCAACCGCAAGGTGCGCAACAACAGCTGCTTCAAAACCAGGATCACCTACTAAAATCACTACAGCTACGCCTTCTAAGAGGATCACAACATCCCCATCATCAGTATCGACATCAACTCTGAAGTCCACAGCAACATCTCCTACTAAAAAGACAACAACGTTCCCAACATCAGCAACATCAAAGCCCACGGCAATGTCGCCCACTAAAAAGGTCACCCCATTCTCAGCAACAATAACATCGCCCACAAAAAAGTCCACAGCATTTGCAGCAACACCAACAGCTGGTAAGACCCAAACAAGCAAACCAGCAACAGCATCCATCAGCAGCAGCAGCATGTCCCCAAAGCAGAACAAACCGACGGCAACAAGCTCAGCAAAGACAACATCAAGTACTACATCAACAGTGAGCAAAACGAAAGCAACTGCAACACCTAAGAAATAGAATGAAGCTCAACTCAAAACCTGATATAAACTGTAGTTCCGATATTGAACACTATTTTTCTAAGTACCTATTTAATCTTATGTAAAGGAACTCGAGCTAAGCGAAACGATGTTTTTAAGCCTATATTAATATATATACATATATGTGTTATATATATACGTATAAAGATATTTATATAAATGTTATACGCCTGTGTGTTTATATAGATGTAGATTTTATAAATATTTATTTGGGTCACATTTACTTTGGCACCGAACAGCGACAGCAACTTAATGGAAATTGCAACACTTTCAACAGCTTTAAACAATTTCCAAGATTTTATGAACCTTTTTCAAAATATAGAAATTGTAAAAATATAGAAATTGAAAATATAGAAAATGAAAAGGCTTTAAAGAAATGGAGAAAAAAGAGAACATTTAGCATTCAGCCGAAAACCTAGCACCCTTGTAGTTTAATAGTTTTTGTAAAAAACATTTGAAATGTATGTCTAATAATTTAAACTTACTTTCATTATTAACATTTGAAGTACAATGTATCGTAAAATGATGAACATGTGTATATGCCCATGTCTACTATTTTAAGTACTCATCGGAAAACATAACTAATTCTAGATAATTATCGATAGTAAATGGCATGCTTATATCGACTCAGCTTGACGCCCTGATCAAAAATATATATTCTATATGGGATCTGACACTCCTCCTGCTTGTTACAGACATTTACCTAAAAATATTCTCTATATAGATTCAATTACATGCTTGTAGATGGGTCGAGTAAAAAATAAAGAAATACAAAAAAGAATATAAATTGTACTAAAATTAACTATAAATATTTTATCATTATCTTTGTTTTATATAAGTTCAACTTCAGTATCCACTACAAGGGTGTTCAAGCAGCAGACATTTGAAACGTGCTTGCTAGCCTAACTAACAGCACTAACTACAACTATGTTGAAATAGTTCCCTAACAACAGATTTATGTGCTCTCTGTTCAAAAAAGTATTATGTTGAAAGACTCAATGCAATTACCAAAAAGTTAACGTAGGTTTTAGTAAATCACAGAATTGCGCGTTTGATTGTTGTGCGATAGAAAAGGTGTCTATATAACAAATAAATATATATGTATATCCCGAATATATTTAGCTGTATTCTGTACCTATTGGTTATATTAAGATACATTAGAAACATAACCAAATCAAGAGCAATGTGCAAATGCAATGGAAAAAGATACATTTATATACATATGTATTTACAATTTACCCAAGAATATATTGAAATAACTACTATTTACTTATACACAAAAAAATATTTATTTTTACTGCAAATGTTCTAAGTAATATATTTAAAACATTTTGAATGCATTTTAAATGGCTTGCGATTTGGGCTGGACTTTTATTATTTATGTTAATTACTTTGAGTTAGACTTTAATGCATGTTAGATCATATTTATATGTCTGCATCTGTAGATCTATTGAAACAGTACACAGTTTAATGTAAAACTCTATTCTGATAGGCCTAAATAAATGAGAGACTCATGTACCTAATGAAATTAAGATACGAGTGGATTTTTCAAGATGCATAGACCTATGGATCTTACAGAAACAGCAAAACTAAAAACCAAAAACTAATTCTAAGCAAGTATTTACAAATGTTTTATGTGTGTGTAAGAGTGTTAATATTTAGACGAACACTCACCAAATAACTAAATAAATATCGAAAAACAAAAAACAATAATTAAACTAATGGAAAATAATAAGAAAGAAATATAATTTATAAGGCAATTATTGTGTATCGTTGTTGAAATATACTATTTGTATATATATACATGTTATTAGATGGAGAACAAAAATCAAAAAGCTGTGTGTTGCCTAAACCAAAAGAGGAAAACTAAAAACAAGAATAGAGTAAAGATTGTATTAAAATGTACCTATAACATTTGTATGTGTTTGTACATCTAGCTAGTGGAAAAATAAAATAAAATAAAATAAAATGATAATAAAAAATAAATATAAATATATATATGATTATGATTTTTGCAGAATCAAAAATGTATTAGGTGTTGAATTAAAAAATTTGTAATTTAATTTTGTTAAATTTGTATGTTAAGTTTCCGACTAGATTCAAACTACCGTAAACCCGAAATTTGTGATAATTTTTTATACTATGTTAAATTTTTGAGCATTATGTATTGTCCACTTATAGGAATAGAACTTAGTTATATACACATATATAAAGCCAATGAGCAAGTAAGGATATTAACAAAACAGGAAACTTATTCAATTGTTGTTCTTGAGTTGTTGTTTTTAGCGCAGTAGCTGTGACATAAAATTACGAATTAAAGTACCTAGAATAAATTTACAAAACATAAGGGCTGTATATACAATTAGCCCAACTGTTAAAGGATTAACCAATTGTTGCATGTCGTTTGTTTACGTGAATGTGTCTGTACCTGTAAAAGCTACTTAGTTATTAGAAATAATGAAATTATCAACAATAATCTAAATATGGAAATGTTAAATGGCTGTTAAAAAAAAAAAATAATAAAAATAATATGTATATGATGAAAATGCAATTGAAAAACAAATACATGTAAATACATGAATAAATGAGTTAAATAAAATAAGATAAGCAAATCGAAAGCAATTTGCTCAAATCAAAATTTTTGTTTACTCGTACCTAAAAAAAAATATCTAGCTAAAGCTGTCAATTCCGGCAAAATAAATGTTACAAGTATGCTCAACTATTTGTGAATGAATGTAGCAGATAAAAGAGGATACTTCAAAAATTACAAACTAAATAATCAATTTTCTAAGTGAGCACACATTTCGAAACTATAGGAGCTTCAAATTTTTTACAAATCTTTGGGCTACGAGAGGTATAAATAAATCAGAGTAGTTGAGGAATTATTACAAAATTCATATCGTTACGTTAAGCTTATAAAAACCCAAAATAGCTATACGATGAATCTGTAAACTGTAATCTTGAAAAAAATTAACTCCACCCACCTTTTTAATACGCTCAATGTACAGAAAGAGCTTCATTTAAATGCAAAACATTAAAAAGCAGCTCAAATGAATAAAATTATATATGTTGATGAACATTAAGATAATTATGTAAGTACATATATATACACATACAGTATATGCCGTAAAAAAGAATTGAGGTATTGTTTATAAAACAAGTGAAACTTAAACAGATATGTAATTGGCAAGTCATCATAAAACAATGTTCACAACTTCAAATGTTGTTAAAAACTGTACAATTATTTTGTATTTACTATTATATATTAATAATACTTGAGAGCTCCATTCATTGTCCGATCAAAGAGTATATATTTGATAAGTCAAGTAACCCACGTAAATGTATCCATGTTTTAAGCAGCTTTTGAGCAAATTATTCTTATATTAACAAAATATTTTGCTGTTTATGTAAAAGCACTTTAAAATGTATTTGTGAATGTAAAATTGAAGGAACGATCGAAAATTCCAAAGCGGCCAACAAAACCAAATGTACTATTAATATATGTTATTATATTATAAGAAATATTGTATTATTAGATAATTTGTGAATAAATATTTATGGGTTTTAACAAAATAAAGAATTGAGAAAAAATTTAAATTGTGGAGGGAAACAAGGATGATAGTTTTCCCACGGATTTGATAACCGTTATGGGCACCGAAGGCGTAATTCCCACCAAATTTAATCTGCCTACTCAAACATAAACGGAATTAATTATAATCAAATTAATCCGGCCAAAGAGAGTGGCTCAACACATGTGAAAATGCACGTACGTAAAGTAAATATTATAAAGAAACTTCACCATGCCGAAGGTGAGGTTTGAACCTGTGCTCGTCGTTATGCATCAAACTACACGGCACGTTAACGAGCAACGCCACAAACGGCCCCTGAACCTAGTGGTCTAAATTTAGTTTTGTCCAAGAATAACTTTTAGCACGATTCTGTGTACATTTTGCACTGCTTCTATAAAACTGCTTTAACGCTGCTTTGCATGTACCATTTTTACCTTCATACATTGTGTCAGTATATTCAATTGGAACAGCTTTAAAAAGCGTTGCAAATTGGATTTCATAGCAAATTACCAAACATTAGATCGCGTAAATTTTACCTTGTGTAACTACTTAGGGCTTGTATAAAAAAAAAACATTTCTCGCATACAATCAGTGGATAATACATATCTAAATGCTATACTACCAAATGGCTTCGAGATCGCTCCGACTACTACTGCGCGTGGCCTTTCCACTAATAATGGCTGTGGTTAAGAATATGGCTAGCAACTATAAATGGTGCACGTCTGCCCTGGGAGGAAAATGCACCAACTGAACACAAATTCAATGTATTTATGTTCTCAAGTGAAATAAATTTCTGAAAACATAGCAGCAAACGCTTTCAAATTTCAAAGCTACGGCATTATTTTATGTAGAATTTTTTAAGAATAGTCTCAAACTAGCTTAAGCAAAATGCAAGGTTCCGACGCTCAGGTATATATATATATATATATGTGCGTATATCAATTTTCACTTTTTTACTTTGTTTGCTAATATTTTTTATCAGCCGAAGCGCACGCAGAGCTATGTGAATGAAGCCTATCGTTTACTTCTTGAAAAACCCGGCGTGGAGGAGGTGCTCATCATGAATCATTCGGGTGTGCCAGTCAAAACTTCAATGTCGCGACAGGATGCACTGCAGCATGCCTGCCTCTATGATAACTTCCGTGAAAAGACCCAAGCATTCCTGCAAAAGCTGGAACCGCCACAGACCCTATCTATGCTACGTGTGCGCACCAAATTGCATGAGGTCCTCATAACACCCGATGCCAAGATTACAATATTAGTTGTTCAAAATGCAAAGGATGCATATATGAAGTCCTTAGATCCTTAGACTATCGAATGTTTTCTAGTGGTATATCAAACCCACACTGTTCACCTTCGTCTTCATGTTCATAATCAACCAATAAATTGAGTGGCCTCTGCAGGCTATATTTCCGCACAGAAACATATTATTCTCACATAACTCCCATCCCCAACTGTTTGCTTATCAACAGGCCTGTTCGGCAACGTGGATAAGCCTGCATTCTCAACTAACACTAATGCAACCTTTTCAGCACTCTCGCGAAGCTTCTTTCAGTGCTCAGCTGTCAACTTAACGCATACGTATAGCAACAGTTGTTCGATTGGCAACAATAATAATAATGAATATTCAATCAAGCCTGCGGCTTGTTCTGTCGTTTCTCCTATGTTCAGGCTCGACTCCTGTCCATTGCGATATTTCAAGTGCGGGCCACTACTCCCAAACGGTGGTAAATTCCGCTCTGGATTTATACATAGGCGCCGACAACATCAGCAGTACCACCAACAGACATAGTGAAACAACAGCGACTGTGACTCCTGACAGTACTAAAGTTGATTTCGAGAGAGCGGCCATTGTGCCCGCACATATATATCCTTATTTGTTGCTGTCGCTGTGGGTAACATGCATAAGTAGGGTGCATTAGTGAGTAATCTGAATGAATACAACTGATTTTACTGATACGCTTCTCCTTGCAGCCTGCATCGTCTGTTGCTGCTTATACTGCAAGTGCCAGCAGGCGGAGAGTATGACAGCGTACAACTCAAATGGCTTTGAGCTTCGGGAAGTGCATATCCAGAATCATCCTTTGCCGCACGTCCAGGGATGCGTTTGCCTGGGCTGTTTGCAGCGAAATGCAGCTGAAACGCGAGCACTAAACACACTTTCCGAGACTTAAGCAACAAACATATAAGTGTATATTCAAGATTTGGCCAGAGCTTTACATGTATATAATACATATACCAAAAAAAGCTTACTTCTATTTAAACATAATTAAATTCGTCTTTTTATCGAATGTCTTCAGGAAAGTTTGTCTTATTGGATAAACATTTTCATTCTTTGGATAGTTGCGTGTCGTTATAGTTCAATAGTAATACTTTAGCTGATTCATAAGCAAATGTTGAGAACGTTTTGCGTCTATTTAATCTGCAGCTTGGATAGTGTAAGCTGATCTACATCCAGCGGGGAGAGACTCAGTTTCATATTAAACTGCGTGGCCAGCAGGCGAAGCATGTCGAACTCCTTATCCGTGTACATTTTGCGACTCATATTGACCGACTGCAAAGAGGAATTATTGAACTCTTTCAACTGCGACTCGAAGTCGCGTTTGAGTTGTTGATTTGAAACGTTTTCTTCAGATTTCTTCTCCGGCTGCTCTGCGCTTCCCAGAGCGCGTGTCCATATTTCACGCACAGACTTCTTATATTTACTAACACGTTGCTCCACTTTGATGATCTCCTCGCTTATCTCCTTGTTGTTTGGCTGTTTGGCTTGCGCCTGCACAAAACTTTTGCGTGCTTGCTCGTAATCCCCTAGCGCGGCCAGAGCTCGTCCTTCTTGGAACAGAGCCTTGCAGGAGGGCTGATTGTCAGTCAAACGCCGCAGAGCTTTCATGGCTATGCAGACTCTCGCCGGCTTATTCACCTTGTTGTTGCACACCATGAGGTTGGTGTAGAGAGTAATGAGCAGATCCCGCTGCTTGATCTCGTCCTTCTCATCAGCCAGGCGACAATAGTTGAGCGAAGCAATGGCGCGCTCAAAAGCCGCAACTGCATTACGATAGGAGCCACGCTTCACACAATCCTTGCCATGCAAATGCATATCCTGCGCCTTTGGAAAAACCACTGCAAACTTGTTGCGATCCTCGGGTGCAATCTTCTCCAGAGAGTTTTCATCGCCAATCAGTGTGAATTCGATTATTTCAATTTTGAACAAACCATCCGCACGTTGTTTTATGCGCGGCGGGCAGCCCATTTCGTGGAACAGCAATTTATATGAAATTATAAACTCTGATTGCTCGTAGACGCGCATAGTGCGAACCGCAGCCTCGAGGCCCTCGAGAACCATATGCTGGCCCGTTTCAAACTCAAATTTGGTTCCACGCAGCATAGACGAATCGAATGGAGCGGTCTGGCCCTCCCAGTATGCAGTATAACGCAATGCCACGCGAGCCTTATCCGGAACGAGGCCTTGCTCCTTGATACCTGCTCGTGTAATTCGTTTGTAGATATGCTCATTCACGGGCGTCATTAGCTTGCGCAATTCCTCAAAGGAACGTGTCCAGGGCGAGACAAGAGCCTCATGATCAATTGCCTCCTCATCAACATCTTCGTCGTTGTCATCCACAACAAAGTCATCATAGGCAGTATTATTGTAGTTGGCCGTATCTACTTCAAATTGAGTGCCAGCATTTATCAAGTCACTTAAAACAAAACCAAAAATTCACTTAATACATCTTGAATGGAGGAGCCTAACCACGTATTTTATTTAACTCACGCAAAAGATAACGGCTCCTTAAGCAATTGAGGGTTTGTGTTGTAGGTATCCTCCATTGCAATATAAAACTTTAAAACCAAATTTTCTTTCAAATTTACAGGGCGTTGAGCTTATAATTGGTGATTACCTTCTGCGCGATAAGAAATACACGCACTTGTTTCAAACAGCCTTTCGATAAACTGTTTCAATGATCTGTCATCGAATTAAGTCAGTGTTGTAAAGGACGTGCTTCAAGCTGCGTTTGTAACAAATGCTACACACATTTAGATGCTTAGAATACACTAATTTTAGTATTTATTCAAACATTTTTCTGAAAATGAACACAAATACCAGCTTATACAAATACCTTTTTTGGTGCATACAATATAATACGAAATAACAAACAAAAATAATAAACAATGAATGCTCCATGATGGCGACAAAAACCAAGACTTAGTGGTTTTCATTAGAGGCGATACGATTAATATGCATTTATGGGCTACTCTATAGTATAATTATATGTATGTAAAATCATCTGTGGTGAATCAATTATGCATCGAACTACTATATTCACTTTTTTAGAAGCTTGTTCATTTCTTTGTTTTGCTTGACCATATTAATGTCCACGCTCTCAATTTTGTAGTTCATATTGTCCAACAAACTGTTCTGCGACTCAATTTCAGTGCCCAAATCAGTGGCCAAGAACTTGAGGCGAGACAGATTATCGCACATCTCATCGAGATTCGATTCCAGTTGCTGCTGAAAGGGGTTCGCAGCGCGTTGCTGAGCCTGGACCTGGCGCTGTTGAAAGGAACTTCTATCGTCTCGTATACCACTAACTGGATGATTGTCATACCGCTCTGTTGGTGACATCGGCTGTTTGGGTATTGCGCCACCACCAACACCACCTGACATCGAATTGATATTTGAGTTGGTCTCCTGTGATATTTGACTGCCAGAAGGCGAGGCAGTAGCCGTTGGAGCATCCCGATTGCCCGACAAATAATTCTTAAGTCCGCCAAAAACACTTTTTAGTCCATTCAAATGCCGCTGACTGAATCGTAGTGTAGAGTTTATTTCATCTAATTGATTTGAGGTCTTCTCTAGTTGTTCCCGCTGCCTGGCCAGCTCCACAGCTGTTGCTCTACCTACATCCTCCGTTTCGTAGAGTAGACCTAATAACAGAATTGTTCGATTGGTCCGCCCACAAAATAAACATGTATATTTTGTTTATCTGAACATACCCAAACTCTTTTGCGTCGAGTCTAGTGTACGCTGCTCTATTTCTCTGCGCCTCTCCGCGTAAGCCTGTCTCTCTGCTGCAATTGACGATGATGTGGATATCTCGTCATCATCTTCAAACGGATTCGTACTGTGTTGTGCCCTTTCTGCACTTGTTCGCGTGTTTCGCAAAAACAGGTCATCTTCTACATCCGCAAACTTATCTATATCAAAATGATTATTCACTGGCTGCAGATAGTTATTGGCCATTTTTAAAATGCGTTTGACCAATAAGCACAATTAATACAATAATTTTAATATGATAATTTTGGGGTCACTGTGTCCAATTTAATGTTAATAAAATTTTCTTTGTTGTTATTCGTTTTACTTATCGGATATACAATCGTTATCTAATATAAATATCGATAGTTGGCTTACGATGATCAGAACAGTGCCCTAACAGCTTTTGGTTGCTAATGTAACGGCATATGAACAACAGAAATCAATTATATCAAATACTTGAGATTTGAGAGGATCTTCATATTTGTATAGGTAAAATAATGCTATTTAATAACAGATGTATACAATTATTTATTATCAAATGAATTTGAAACATTTAACTGTAAATATTCAAGGAATCGATTATACGATAAGCCATCTCTAATGTCAATCTACATACTAACACATCTCTACTGTATCGGACCGGACAGCTCCGCGTCCGCAATTTTTACGTTCATTTTAAACAAAAGAAAACTGATATAAACGAAGAAAATAATTGTGAAAATTTAGCAAAAATATAACGAAATTAAAAGCGTTTTTCCAAAATATACACCGAAAACTTTGCTAACATGCACTGTACCTTAACAATTTTGGCCGCGTCATGTGTCATCGTCACGCTGTTCGCTGCACAAAACGCTGCTGGTGACCGTTCTTCGACGGCAACCAAAAGAGTGTCGCAGGCAAATGGCAACTTAATCGAGTTGGACGAGGACAATTGGCATTTAATGTTAAAAGGCGAATGGATGATAGAATTGTAAGTAAATTGAACACTGGAAATAAACGCAAAAATCAACGCAGACGCAGTTTGTGTGGGGTGTTGCCGGTAAGCAGCAGATACTACAACACCAATAACAGAAACAACAGCAACGGTAAAGCTGGTGCTGGAGCTGGTTCTAGTTTTGTGGAATGTTGCATTCCGCTTAGTGATGTGCGTTGCGAATAGCTGTTTGGCTACGTTATTTGCTGCGTGCCTGAGTCATAAGCCGGCAGCTGCATTTGTACAGCTGTTTTCAGCACAAAAAAAAAAAAAAAGAAATTAATAGTTTTAAACAAATATTGGAGCAAAATAACCAAAAAAATAGCCAACGTGTGCTTAAGACTTTCTGTAGGATTTATATAATAATTATGCCCATATTGGGCTTGTATGTGCATACATTATTTGATATATTTCATATTATATCAAACTTTGTCTCTGTAGCTTCGCTCCCTGGTGCCCCGCCTGCAAGAATTTGGCGCCAGTTTGGGAACGCTATGCGAGTACAGCCAAGGATGTTAATGTTAATGTGGCCAAGATTGATGTAACCACATCGCCATCGCTTAGTGGACGCTTCTTTGTCACCGCCTTACCCACTATTTATCAGTAAGTTGAATATACATATATATATAAATATATACTATATACAATTCGTAAATATTAATAATACTTTTGCATTAAACGCAGCGTGAAGGATGGCGAATTCCGTCAATATCGTGGCGCACGCGATGCCGATGCTTTGTTGTTCTTCTTGAAGAAGAAGTCGTGGCAGAGTATTGAGCCGCTGTCCTCGTGGAAGAAGCCCGACACCATTCATATGTCCCTTCTATCCTATTTCTTTAAACTGTCGCATACATTGAAGGTACATAACCCATGCAATCGCTTGTTTACTTCTGCTTGGGCTTGATTATGTAGTCGTTTAGTTCAATGGACGCATGCGGAAGCTTATCTCGCGAGATTGGGCCAAGAGGTTATATTCCATATATTGTCTATCTCCCATTGAACTGTAACAGTGGTTCAAAACCTATTCAATTCATCAAATTTATCAAATCGAGCTCAATCACTGCTTTATAAGTTTCCGCACACTCCCAAGCTTATGCATAATGAAATGTTGTATATTGTATATACTAATAGCGCACACAAAAACTCTTTAAGGATTTCAACTCACGCCTGCAGGAGGAATATGGATTGCCCACCTGGGGCTCCTATGCACTGTTTGCCATTGCCACAATATTTGTCGGAGCTGCCCTGGGGTTGATGCTTGTGTGCATTGTGGATTTTGTTTACCCACCAAAGAAAGCACAGCGTCAGAGCTTCTCCGAGTCACAGGAGCATCTAGCCGAAGGAGTAGAGGACTTGGCCACCGAGGAAATCGAAGATGATGAGGAAGCTCCCGCGAATGAGGAACACAACAGCGATGATGATGATGATGATGACGACGAGGAGGAGGAAGATGCTGAAGTGGAGGCGAAAGAAAAGAAGCAAAACAATGGCGACACAGCAAATAAAAATAAGTCTGAAATCAAAGTAGAAAAAAAAGAAGCGACAGACAAATCGGCCGGCGATGAGGCGTCCGAGATCACAGATAAACCCAGTACAGAACAGGTGCGCAAGCGTAAGCCCCGCAAGGCGGATTAGAGTAAGCAGAGCAACGCGTAGGGTGGCAACAAAAAGACTAACATAACATTACAAAAGAAACAATCGAAACATTAACATTGTAACAACAAACCAGCTTTCTGCAATTTGTAGGTAATTGTAATTGCGAACCTGTTTTGAATTGTTCTGTTTCGCGCACAATACGAAGTAATTTCGTCTCATTTGAAATGTTTCCAATTGAAGCTGCAGGAGAATTTCCCCAAACGCGAAGACTTTTCTAAGTAGCAAATATTCGATTATCGGCAATCGCATCCTAGCACCAACACGTATTTCATAATTATAAAGGAGTAACAATAATTAAATAATTAGTCATTTTATTTATCGTTTGCATTTTTCATTGCTTTTATAGTTTCGTTTCTAATCAATGTGTTTCCATTTACTTACAAGGAAATCATATTTTCACAACAGATATAATTTTCCATAAAACGGCAAACTGTATTAAATTTGTGTATTACAAGTGAAATTGATGTCTTTCGTCAATAAGTTAATGCAAATATTGCATTTAAAATCTCTTGATCCATCAAGATGCATTAAAGCGACCAAATACCATTTGAGCTGAAATTTAAATAAAATAATGCAACGAGAAAAGTAAAAAAAAAAAAATTTTGAAGAATTCAATTCATTAAAAAGCAGATAATATAATGTATTAATTAAAATCATTCAATGTGTATTTTACTGGAGTGTAATTCCATGTAAGCGAATCACCACTAAAACACTTTAAATAAAACCATATATATACATTTATGTAACAACGTGTATTTTGGTAACTATATATAGATATATATAGCATGTATATGTGTACATATATATTTGCTACAATGTATCCGATATGAAACACAATCGAAATTTAGAAATAAATATGCTTCTTTTTGATTACTAAAGAAAAGAACATTTTTTATTTGGTGTGCGTAATTTGATTTTTACATTACATTTTACGTTTAATTGGTGGCAGCCATCCCTTCATCCGATGCTCATCCGCAAGTGTGCTATCGAGATCTAGGCAGGACATGCGCGCCAAGCTCTCTTTGTACCCGAGCAAGTGTTTCGCATCCAAGTCCGATATGTCGCCCTGTGCTTGATTACCCATGTAGAAGGCTCTTTGGCACTTGCGTGCAAAATCCTTTTCCAGCGTCTTGTCGACGCGCACATAGCGCCGGCAATTATCCGCCACAGAGGATGAACGCTTCCGTATTTGAATCTCGCGGTGTTGGACGAATGGTGACAGCGGGGTATCCTGCAGCTGAGCAGTTACTGCGCGTGTATAGAAGCCATACTTATTCATTGTATCCGATCTAAAATTTTGAATATGGTTTTTGGTTTTTGTTTTTTTTTTCCTATACAAATATTTTCAAACAGAAGTCGAGACTTATCTGGCTAGCGCGTGACGTAAATAAAACAGACTTATTTCTCATTTGTAATTTTGTTGTATTTGTATTTTAGTCGTTCATAATTTACAAGTTTGGTCTAAACTAATTGTCAAGAGCGAAACTAAACCAAAGATTTACATTTTTTTATACATTTATTTTTATTTTATTAAATAGCTTTATAAGTGTATGAAAAAATCCCTGCAATTTTGTTATGTTTAAAACTACAATGACAATATATATGTAAGTGTGTGTGTGTGTGTGTGTTTGCCAAATTTGTTGTTTCTTAGAAGTTCATTGTTGCCAAAGTAATAACTATTGTTTACACATTGTTATTGTTACGGTTACTGTTATTAGTATAAAAAGGTATAAAAGTTGTACATGTATTTATTTCATTTGCGCCTGCACTTAAACGTAAACTTGTTTAATCTGCCTGCTTTGTTGTTGGTTTTTTCAGTTTTTTTTTTCACTTGGCACTTGTGATCAATGAATTAACTGTTGTTGGTTTGTTAAATATATTAAAGAGAAACAAAATGAAAACATTTTGATTGTTAAACAAATAACAGATTCAACAAATGGCTATGGCTATTGTAGATTCGATGCGATTTAACGGTAGGGACTTTGAGGGGTTTGTAGGTACTTGGTGTGTGTGTGTGTGTGTATAAATAAATTTCTATATATAAAATATATATTTGATATATATTTGTTTGGTTGTAAAAATTGTACTATTGCAGCGTATGGAGGAAGTTTGTGGGAAAAGGATCATCGGGGTAGGGAATATTTTGTGTGTATGTGTTCATGTTTTCAAATACTTTAAGTAATTGTGTATGTGTGATCAATTTTGGATTTTCAGTTAATTCGTGTTTCTTTTCTTTCGTGATTTTAACAAACGCCAAATGCTTACACTGATATGCAATGTATGTAAGCATATTGAGTGTAATTAGTTTTCTGACAGCAAAAAACATTCGTAATTACTTTAAATATTTAAAAAGCATTAATCGTGTGCATTAAACATTTTGCAAATGCAACTGAAAGCAAAGAAACGGACAAAAAATATATGATTCAAGTAATCAAAACCATGAAAAAATTGCGACAGCAAGCAACCAGTGCTGCCACCCATCGTTTTACGTGAGCTATCGATAGCAATTTTGTACATTTTTTGAATTAAGCTTTCAGTTACAATTGTGGGAGGGTTAGTGGCGTTGCCATCGTTGTAAAATTAACTCTTCCTTTGCTTTAAAGGCGCGCAAAAGCTAACTTTAAAACAACGCAATTGACTTAAACTACTAAATAACTGGCTAGTTATATATGAGGTATTTGTATGTGTTGAGTGATGATTGTGGAAATTTTGTGTGGCAAATTTGAGGAATTTTGTAAACCGGTCTATTGCATAAAATTGCAGGTCCGTCGCCTTGAAGTCGCAAGGGACGTGAAAAAATGTAGCAGTAATATTTAAAAAACTAGTTGCCGCAGGCTATGCGACAAAGTCGAGCGGTCGATTGAAGCCACCCTTACGGTTCATATACTGGCGATACTTGCGCTTGAGGATTACATGCACTTCACCAACATCGTTGCCCTCGACTTTCTTGTTCTTGGTGGTGTCAAAGGTGCAGAAGCCCATTGTCTTCAGCATCTCAACCTCTTCCGGCGATTTACCCTCCAGATCTGCTTCATTGATCTTTGGACGCTCTGCAGCTGCATTCGCTGAATTGTTCCGTGTGGCGCGTCTGGATGTCGAAGGGCCTGAGCTGCTACCTGCACGACGTGAACGGGATCTGTGAAAGGATATGAGAAAGAGGGAAAGCGGTTCCTACTTAATGAACTGGAAGTTGATTGCATTTAAATGAAAATGGAAATGCATAAATGTACAGAAATGTACACTTGGGCAAACTAGGGCAGGGTCATTTGTACATATATATGTATAAATTAGACAGTTGAGGGTTTAATTATGAAACGTGACACCTTTCAATATTATACAACCGGTTATAAACCAAACTTATTTGTGGTTGTCTTGTATTTTTGCCAACTGTTTACAAAAGATAACAAAATCAATGTGTGTGTATGCGTGTTTATGTGTGTGTGTGTGTACTTAAATATAATCGAAAGCTGTTTTGTTCGCTTAGGACATCTCCTCGATTAGTGCAGCACGCAGCTTTGTCGTCACCGTCGCCGGCTGGGCTTGATTCAACTTAAACACACTCTCGATAACGGAAATCTCTGTGGCTGTTGTATTCATGCCCACAAACGAAATCCAATCATTGACGACCATGCCGGCAGCCAGCACTTCACTGCCACGATTCACAGTGCCCGCAACGAGAGGCACTTGCAGCAAGGACGACAGCTCATCTTGATCCTGAATGCTTGTCTTGGGATGCACCATGCCGCCTTGATTGCTCAGCACTGTGTAGGAGCCGACCAGCGTGTTGTCCGCGATGGTCTGGCGAAAGACTTCTACATTGAGCACGTCCGCTATGATTTCTTCCGTCTCCTTATCCAAATCGGGATGCACCAGGGCCACATAGTCATTGCACGCAATCACGTTGCCCAAAGCAGACAGACGCTCCTCAACACGCTGTATCTTAACGGCATCAGGCAGACTGTTGCGCAAATGCTGCAGCTCCTCGTCGGTGGTGGAATGCGGTACTAGCAGGCCGTTGCGATTGCCAACGGTGAGTCGGCCAATGATGCGACAGCCACCGATGTTGGCATGGACGACAGGTATGGTCTCGGCCAATTCGGCCTCGTAGGCACTGTAGAAGGTCTCCGAGCCACCAATGGCAACCAGGCAATATGTGTTTGTTAACTTGCTAAAGACGCCAATATCGTCATTGTTCTCGAATTGCACGCGCAGCGCCATTTTGTGTGGGATTTAGTATTGTATTTATTGATGTCGAATAAAACTATATTCGCTTCGAGCTCCGTTCGCTTTCTAATGTCCCACACTTGACGCTGTCTGGTTTTAACACAATCTAATAAGGTACTTTCAGCTGTATTGTGAAATTCGTGTATTTCGCTTCACGTGGTAATTTGCTAAATATATGCCGAAGGAACAATTGATCTGGAGATGGGAGATAGCGAACTAGTGAGCTGTCAAATCGCACGCAGAGCACACTCAGGGTTGCATTAAAACAGAAAATAAGTGAACTAGTTCGTTGAAATTGCCACGCTTTGAACATAAGCTTTCATCACCAAGCATACTAAGTCGTTTGGTTAGTGATTATATACGTAATAAATGTGTTTTAAAAAAAATGCTAGTACTTTATACTTATCGTTGTGGTTTGGTACACTACACTTGCTTATTCACCTCGAACGCCTTCCTCTCGCACGGTCACGCTCCCGCTCACGTTCCCTATCACGGCTGCGGCTTCTTTCGCGCTCACGATCACGTTCCCGCTCGCGGCGACTGCTGCTGGTGCCAATCCCAATAGCTTCTCTTTCTCTTGAGCGTCTTTCTCGGCGCTTTTTGCGTTCTGTGCGCTCCTTTTCCCTTCGTCTGTGTGCAGGCGAAGCGGGACTGCGGCTGCGACCCATCTTAAGCCTTAATATTTATGTGTACGTTTTTTAAACGTTTACAAATATACAAATGCCTAAGTAAAGTCACATTTTATTAACAGTCTTATTAAAATAATGAGCCATCGCGAGCACTCACCGTTGCTTAATGCTGTGTCTAACTTAAATTGGACGACACCGGCATTAAGTCGAACGCTCTAAACCTAAAACTAAGTGTAAAAACGAAGCGCGTTCCTTCACACCCGCGACGCCAAAACAGACTGCAAATGGCCGCTCTCCATAACAGCTGATTGTGGTTCATATGTAGGACTTTTGCATTTTTCGGAGTATAATCAGTGTGACCCCTTTTCTACTAAACACTAAAAATTCCATATTCAATATATCAAAAATACCTAACTTTGGTATCGAAATACCAAAAGACAAAAAATGCTTCTAATAATAAAACATACACAACTTTAAAAAAATTGAATAATGATATTAATTTCTTGATTTCTAAAATTGCAGGGCCCAGCGAATTTTCCTACAGCTTTTCAGCCATTTTTAATTTCCAACATTTATCGCCAGAAGATCGATATGCGTAGTCAATCAATTTCCGAATTAAAGACTTGTTACAAATTGGTCTATTTGTCGTATTTGGTCAAATTCTGAGTATTAATTCTAGATTAATTTAAACGGAACACTCACAGCAAAAGTTCAATTGAATAAGGTCATCGTTAACATTTAAGTATGTTAATTTGAGTGTGTTTGTGTGTATATACGAAAATGCATCACATAGCAACGATCGCTTTGATATTACACATTTATAATAAATGATCTTTTCAACCTTTACATAATGATAATTCAAGCTGCCGGCGCCAGCTAAGCGTAAGCGATTCCAATTGCATATTGTCCACATACACGCATTATCATATTCTGCTCTTATCAGCAACACGCTATGCAACTAATTACCATGTTGTTTATATGCGCGAATAAGCACAGCAAAACACAATAATAAATAAGCAGTGCAAACAGCTGTTACTACATGTCAAAAAGCGCTTTGTCAAAGCTTTTGTATTGGGGCCCGCACTCGCTGAGCATCGCAGTTCTCAATTTGCAGGCAGCGCCGGTGGGTGCGTCAGTTCTTTTCATTTCGCTGTTATTTTTGTGTATTTGAATTTGTAAGCGGTTTGCAAGATGAGTGATCCAATGAAAGTGGAGGTTAAGGATATTGACAAGCTGCTCGAAATGGATGGCTATCTGAAGCCGTTCGAGCGTGAGATTCGTCGCCGGTAAGTTAGAGCTGTCATCACAGGGTGCGGGTAGCGGTTAGAGACGCACGTCATATAATCCGATGTTTTCACCGGCTGATAAGCTGCTCAGTGTGGAAAAGAGCAGCAGGTTGTTGTTGTTTTAGTTGCGCCCTACAGAATCATATCAACTGGTTTTGCAATGCTGCGCCAAGTGCAGTTCGAAAAGTGAGGCGGTCAATGTCAGTTGAAGGTCGTGCGTCCAATTTATTTCGCTGTTTGCTTTTTACGTGAGCGTGCAAATGATGGCCTGGTGCAGCGAAAACATTTGGAACTGCCGTCGCGCCATTCCTTGGTATTGGCCTTGAGAGCTAAACTTGATTTCCGTGTTTTGTTTCATTAACTCTTATACAGACATGGCGTACTGAAGGATTGGATTGCGAAGATTGATCAATGCGAGGGCGGCTTGGAAGAGTTCTCGCAGGGCTACAAGTACTACGGTCTACACTTTCAGCCGGATAATTCAGTGATTGCACGCGAGTGGGCGCCGGGAGCAAGAGATGTGTATCTTACTGGCGATTTTAGTGAGTATGCTAAAATTGATTGGAGGTGAAATTCTCTCTTCAATTAATCGGAAACGAAAGGTCAGATGAAGTTAAATATTCTGGACGTTAAGGATGTGCAAGGGAGTTAGCACTATTTTTTTCGCCTCGATTCGCTCTTATACTGCAAATTTAAAAGCTATTGAAATATCGATAGATCAAATCAAATGTAATCGATTTTAGAGAAATTCGAATCTATAAAAGTATATTTTACAGATTATGGTTATTTTAGTATCGATACTGAACGGTGTTATATTTATATTATACCACTGTTCTCTGGTCAGTGATTATACATATATAATTATATATAATTATTATAATTATATTATATATTGACTTTCATTTAAATTATTCCAGACAATTGGCACTGGGAATCGCATCCGTACAAGAAACTGCCCTTTGGAAAGTGGGAGCTTCATTTGCCCGCCAACCCAGATGGCAGTGCGCCAATTAAGCATCTCAGCGAGATAAAAGTCATCGTACGCAATCAGCACGGTCAGCTATTAGATCGTCTCTCGCCCTGGGCCAAGTATGTGGTACAGCCTCCCAAGAGCGCCAATCAGGGAGTCAACTACAAACAGTATGTGTGGCAGCCGCCAGAAGAAGAGCGCTATCAACGACAGAACGCGCGACCGCCAAAGCCCAAGTCCCTGAGGATCTACGAGTGCCATGTGGGCATAGCCTCGCAGGAGCCTCGAGTGGGTAGCTACGATGAGTTCGCGGATCGCATTGTGCCGCGCATCAAGCGACAAGGCTACAATTGCATCCAGGTGATGGCCATCATGGAGCATGCCTACTATGCCAGCTTTGGCTATCAGGTGACCAGTTTCTATGCGGCTTCCAGTCGATATGGCAATCCAGAGCAACTGAAGCGCATGATTGATGTGGCCCATGCCCAGGGTCTCTATGTGCTACTCGATGTGGTACACTCCCATGCGTCCAAGAACGTGCAGGATGGCCTAAATCAATTCGATGGCACCAACAGCTGCTTCTTCCACGACGGCGCACGCGGTGAGCACGCCCTTTGGGATAGCCGTCTGTTTAACTACACGGAACACGAAGTGCTGCGCTTCTTGCTGTCCAACTTGCGTTGGTGGCATGATGAGTACAATTTCGATGGGTATCGCTTTGATGGCGTTACCTCCATGTTGTATCACTCGCGCGGCATCGGCGAAGGCTTTAGTGGCGACTACAACGAATACTTTGGCCTCAACGTGGATACAGATGCACTCAACTATCTGGGTCTCGCCAACTACATGCTGCACAAGCTGGATCCAGAGGTCATAACCATAGCTGAGGTGAAACTTGTATTCCAACTCGTACTTCTTCCTATTTCTAAATTTATTTTCTGCTTGGCAGGACGTTTCTGGCATGCCGACACTGTGTCGCCCCGTGTCGGAGGGCGGTATTGGATTTGACTATCGCCTGGGCATGGCCATTCCAGACAAGTGGATCGAGCTGCTGAAGGAACAAACCGACGATCAGTGGGACATTGGCAACATTGTGCACACGCTGACCAACCGACGCTGGATGGAGAACACGGTGGCCTATGCCGAGTCCCACGACCAGGCGCTTGTCGGCGACAAGACCATCGCCTTCTGGCTGATGGACAAGGAAATGTACACGCATATGTCCACAATATCCGAACCGTCGATAATCATTGATCGTGGACTGGCACTGCATAAGATGATTCGTCTCATCACGCATGCCTTGGGCGGCGAGGCATATCTCAATTTCATGGGCAACGAGTTCGGGCATCCCGAGTGGCTCGACTTTCCGCGCGTGGGCAACAATGACTCGTACCACTATGCGCGTCGCCAATGGAATTTGGTGGATGACAATCTGCTAAAGTACAAATACCTAAACGAATTTGACCGTGCCATGAATGAGTTGGAGGAACGCTATGGCTGGCTGCACTCGGGCCCCGCCTATGTGAGCTGGAAACACCAGAGCGACAAGACAATCCACTTTGAGCGCGCTGGTCTCGTGTTTGTGTTCAACTTCCATCCCACTAAGAGCTTCAGTGATTATCGCGTGGGCACCAACTGGGCTGGCACCTATCAGGCTGTGCTCTCCTCCGACGATCCCCTCTTTGGCGGCCACAATCGTATCGACATGAATTGCAAGCATCAATCGGATCCCTGGGGTCATGCCGGTCGCTCAAACTTCATTCAAGTCTACACGCCCTGTCGCACCGCCGTCGTTTATGCCCGAATTAGCGATTAGATGAGTTTGTTGGCTTACTTTGTTGATATGTAATTATATATACATACATATATATATATATATATATATATATATATATATATATATAT